AGTAGTACATCTAGCGGATCCTCAGGAGGAGGAGGAGGAGGAGGAGGAGGAGAACAAGCACCACGGGGCACCAACAGTTCTACCGGTAGTAGTACGTCTAGCGGATCCTCAGGAGGAGGAGGAGGAGGAGGAGGAGGCGGAGTCGAACAAGCACCACGGGGCAGCAGCAACAATGCTACCGGTGATGGTTCATCCGCGGGATCCTCAGGAGGAGGACCACGAGGAGGCGCACCTGGCGGAGCAGGACAAGGCTATAATGCGAAGGATCACTGGAGTATTGTGAAGACGAGAGGAACTCAGTTTGTAACTGGTGATGGCCTTCGGTTCTACGTTTGTGGATGGAATGAGAAGTATTTGTTGTACAGCGGCGCGACTTCTGCCGGCCAAGCTCATGTCACGACTCAATATAGTCAGGCTTTGTCGTTAGGGTTGAACATTGTTAGAATGGTCGTTGCCATTTTTAGCACAGAGAATCCTGTGCAGTCGGGACCTAATACCTTCAACGAAGAGACGCTTAAGGGCCTCGATTGGGTGCTGAAGGAGGCCTCTGATAGGGGCATTCGTGTGCTTGTGTGTTTCGGTAGTAATTGGGACATCAAGGCGACTTATTTAGAATGGTTGAAGCCGGGTCTTGACAAAGACGGCGATCAGAACCTCTATGATGACTTTTATAGGACCCCTGAGACGAGAAGCTGGTACAAATCGTTGATTAGGAAGATCATAACTAGGAACAACACCCTTACGGGGGTAACTTACAGCGCCGATCCTACGATCTTCGCCTGGGAGTTGATGAACGAGGCACGATGCGGAAGCGATCCCAGCGGCCGCACTTTGCTGGGCTGGTATCAGGAGATGGCGGCGTACATTAAGACTTTAGACAGCGCGCATATGGTCTCGACAGGTAGTGACGCTTTTTACGGTCCTCAGAGTCCTGATAGACTCTGGATTAATCCTGACAAAGGATGGCCAGCAGAGCAAGGAAGCGATTACATCGCTGAGAATCAGATTGCTGACATTGATTTCGCTGCTGCTCACATTTATCCGCAGATGTGGATGGGCAGAACGGTCGAACAACGATTCGAGTTCTTTCCTAGATGGGTAAGGGGTCACATCGACGACGCCAAATCGAAAATAAGGAAGCCGATGGTGTTTGAAGAGTTTGGGTGGCAGGGGAATGTGCCCCTGAGGACGAAAATGTACGAGTCCGTGTATAATTATACGTACAGTGCTACCGCTGATGAAGACCATAGCTGTGGTGCGATGTTTTGGATGCTAGGGAAAGAAAGGAACGATCCATCGGATTGGAATGTAGATTACGATCGCCATCCCGATACCGTTCGGGTTATCCGAGAAAGCTGCGCGAAATACAACAGGCTCCCCCGTTGAGAGAAGTAAAACGCCTGCCTCAGCCGTCCTCACTCCTTCCCTCCCTCTCGCTCGCTTAGTTGTTTTATTTCTTTCTCTCTCTCTCTCTCTCTCCGTGTGCGTGCATGCATGCATACGCGGGTAGGCTCTCGCGAGCGCACACACGCACAGAGAGAGAGAGAGAGAGAGAGGCTCATGGCAGCCAGTTCGTTTGTGTCGAGAGAAGTAAATGCCTGCCTCAGCCTTCCTCCCTCCTTTTCCGCGTGAGTTGTTTTGTATCTTTCTCTCCCTCTTTCCGTGTGCATGCATGCGTACGTGGTTACGCGCTCGTTAGTGGGAGAGAGAGGGGGGGGGGAGAGGAGAGAGAGAGAGAGAGAGAGAGAGACTCTCAGAGCAGCGAGCTCAATTGTTGTCGAGAACAGGGGATCGAGGATGGTTACCTAGAGCTGATTTGTACTTTACTGATTGCAATTGAGAGAGAGAGAGAGAAGAGAGAGAGGCTCTCAGAGCAGCGAGCTCATTGCTGTCGAGAACAGGATGGTTGCCTAGAGCTACTTTCCGCATATTGGTTGCAGTTGTTTAAATTTCCTTTTCGTAGCATTAGTTTTTTTTTTTTTTTTTTTAATCATTTTCTTTCTCCACTGACATAACGCGTGTCAAAATAGCTTCGAAGGATTCAGTTCTGACTTCGAGAGCTAGCTTGTACGATGTCAAGCTGGTTGTATGTTTTTCTTTTCCAGAACTGAGTGGTCGTTTGGTTGGCGGCGCCGTTGGACGAATATGAGAATGTGAAGTGGAAGGCCCATTTCGCTGTGTACGTGGAGCAGAGTCAGCAGACGTTGCTCGATTGGATTTTTACGCCAAGGGCCAGTCGTCAGAGGACGGGCAAATTTCGGCAGACGTCGTGACTGAAATTGATTTTTTTTTTTTTTTTTTTTAATTAGGATCAGATATTAAACTGATCAGAGCCATTCGACGCCTTGGCGCTGGAATGATACCACGTGGCGACCGATTAGATCGATTTTGAGGCGCAGGAGCGACCGGAATGGTTGCCGCCAATTTTGACCGCGTGGCATTTTTTTGAAAGGTAGAAGGGGTAACAGGTGGCACACACACACGCACACACACACACACACACGCACACACACACACACACACACACACACACAGAGTGAGAGTGAGAGAGAGAGAGAGAGAGATTTCGATGATCTTGAACCTTGGATTGTTATGTAGACATTGTAGAGACGTAGAGAAAGAGGGGGGGAGACGAAGACACAGAGAGAGAGTAGGCGTCTGATGACCGAGTTCTGTATGTGGAGAATCATGCCAATAAGTGCGTGTGTGGTGGGCGACTCAGAATAAGATTTATAAGAGCATAAGGTGAAATTGACCAGGTGACATGTATCAAGGGCTGTGTTTTCTGGATGGGGGCTCTTATCCATACATTCGCACACAGTGGACGAAGGGTCTCTCGGGGAGAGAGAGAGAGAGAGAGTGCATGTACTGCTAAGGTAGTGGGGGTGTTTGGTTTTGATCATATCTCGCAGAATTGGCCTTACCAATTTACCATGGTACTCTCCTTTTTTCTTTGCTGCTTTTTTTTTCTGGCTTCTTTTTTTTTCCAGAAAATAAAAAGCAAGCATCCAATTGGAGGCCAACAGACTCTTATGATGTAGTATTTTTTTGTCTCTTAAAAGTTTTTCTTTTTTCTTTTTGGTTGAAACAGACTCGTCGAACTCCAGGC